CTCACTAAGTCACCCAGACTGGTCTTGAACCCTTGGACTCAGGCAATCCTCGCCTCGGCCTTCCTAAATGCTGAGGTTACAGGTTTGAGCCACCGCGCCCAGCACTTGCTTTTACTTTAACAAGCAAGTGCTACTTTTATGGGCTTTCTCATTTAATTCTTCCAGCAAGCTTGAGATATTGTAAGTAAGGAAGCTGAGGTGCAAAGGTTATAGTGCATAGTCAGGTGCAGCTGGTGAGTGGCAGAGCGAGGATTCAACCTTTAAACCTAAGACAATACTGAACAATCCGGATGTATCACCATACTGGTCCCACTGAACTCCATGGGATTCTGTTCTGATTCCAGTGGAAGGTTTTCTTGAGACTCCTTGGCAAACTCCTGTTCAGTACTGTCTTAATGATTTCCATAGAAGTTCTGGGCTATAATGTGAGCCTCTCATTTTTGTTGTTGCAGCCAGAGGCTAGAGCCATGACATGGGAAGTGGTCTGAGTGAAAGGATGGACTCTAGTCCCGGTCTCCACTCCTGTCTATGTCCTCAGATAAATCCCTGTCCTCTCTTGTGGCTGTGGTGATGATTCTAGATTTAAATAAAAAGGGAGTTAGGGAGACATTTTATCAAGATTCTTTTTCTCCCTTTCTTCTCTCTTTTGTTTTTATCAGGTCTGAAGAGATATGACATTAAAAAATACGGCTCAGAACTTCATGTTATGTTTCTTTTCTTTTCTTTCCTTTTTTGAGTAGGAATCTCACTCTGACGCCCAGGCTGGAATGCAGTGGCACACTTACTGCCACCGCAGCCTCAACCTGCTGGGCTCAGATGATTCTTCTACCTCAGCCTTCCAAGTAGCTGGAACCACAGGTGCGCGCCACCATGTCCAGCTAATTTTTTGATTTATTATAGAGACAAGGTCTTGCCAAGTTGCCCAGGCTGGTCTCAAACCCATGAGCTCAGGCAATTCACTCGCCTCCGCCTCCCAAAGCACTGGGATTACAGGTATGAGCCACTGCACCTGACTCATGATATGTTTCTAAATAAAGCATGGACCTAGGACTAGGCACACAGAATTATTTTGTAGGTGTTAGCTTTTGTTCTTATGTGTTGGCCTGGCTCTTGGACAAGACCATTCAAATCTCCAGAGGTTAATACTTACAACTTTTCTCAATTTATAATCACCATGCTTTTAAATGTGGCTCCTTCTACCTGCTCAGGGGCTGTATAACAGGGAGGCTGGAATACTTACCCTCTGTGGTAGAGAATGCTGGTTGGTCACCAATATCCCTAATCTTTTTATCCCTTCCAACTTTCATTAAATTTTTTTCCCCTGGTACCATGGTTTTGTCTGGTTAGATTTGAATAGTTACTCTATTTGGGAAAGGAATGCATAGCTAACTTCAAGAATATCTAATCACTAATAAATTGGGATGAGTCTAGAGAAAATGTTTAAGGCCTGAGCATTTTCAAAACAATCTAATAATGCTGCTACTACACCATTTGATTTCTATGTCCCCCACCTTTTTTCAAAGCTTAGACATATTCTGTATATGACAAAATGTATGAGGTCAGATATTCACATCTATATACATAAACACTGATGACACTGCCTAGTTTCTTTGATCTTTTCACCAGTTTCACAGGTAGAAAATGGATCCTTTTCAAACAAATGACCTTTTTGCAGATGTTACCACTATGTTCAAATCCTGGACCAAGCCTGTCCCACCTGACTCCTTTCTTCCCTGTCCTTATTGCTGCCATGTTGAGTCATTAGCTTAGCTCCTTCTAAGTTCCTATTCATTTATATTCCAAGCATGAGTCATCTCATATCCACAACTCTATTGAAAACTCCACCCTGCTTTTGTATTTCTCCTCTTTTATCTGGCTAAAATTCAGCTGCTAGGATGAACTTCCTCTCAACAAATAGCAATTACCAGTATTTCCTTCCCATTTATACCATTCATTAGCCACATCTTCAAAGAGTATAGAACTCTTTCCTCTAAGATGGAAACAGATCATCTTTTCACTTTTCAATGGCTCTGAATGCCATTTAACTTCACTTAAATCTGTTCTCAAGGCCTGGTCAAAGTATAGCTCTGAGATGTGTTTCTCAGGGGCTGAGGGCTGTTCAACTTGTTTTCTCTATGGTGCCTAGCAGTGCCTGGCACTCCACAGGCAGCTAGTCAGTGTTTGTTTTAAAAAATTCCATTTTCTCGCCCTCATCTCTTCTCCCTTTGCTTCTTCCTCTGGATTCCTTTCACACTTGTTTTATTTGGTTTTTCCATACAAAATACTCTATACAGAATTCCACTTAGGAAGTGAGGACAGAGCACATTCTCTTTCGTATCAGTTTCCTTTTACTTTGAGGTGGATCTTTATATTGTGCCGATAAGGGACTGAGGAGAAGTGCAGCATAATTTGCTAAAGTTTTAAAAGGAATAGGACTTGGTTCCATGTGGGTGTTAAGCAAATATTTAGCATTCTTTCTTTTTTTTTTTTTTTAATTTTGAGTTGGAGTCTCACTCTGTTGCCCAGGCTGGAGGGCAGTGCATGCTCCCGGCCACCACAGCCTCGACCTGCTGGGCTCAGGTGATCATTCCACCTCAGCCTTCCAAGTAGCTGAAACCACAGACACACACCAGCACACCCAGCTAATTTTTTGATTTATTGTAGAGGTGAGGTCTTGTCAAGTTGCCCAGGTTGGTCTTGAACCCGTGGACTCAGGCAATCCTCTCACCTTGCCTCCCAAAGTGCTGGGATTATAGGCATGAGCCATCACACCTGGTCTAATGTTTAGCATTCTTTCATTCGAAAACATAGCTGGGAGACCCGTGCTATTTCTACAAATACTTGATGATCCTAGTCCATATCTTCAGTCCTGGTCCTACGTACTAGCAGGGAAGCAGCTACTGATGACACGACAGCTTTAACAGCCTTTCCAATACTCAGGAAGCAGCAGAGCAGTTAAGAGGACAGGCCTAGAGTCACAAAACTTGGGCCCAAATCCTGCCATTAACAGCTCTGTGAACTTTGTGCCATGATTTCCTCACTTGGAGTCAACATCTACCTCATACATTGATGTAACGACTGAATTAACACAAGGAAAGCACTCGGTATGCACAAAGTGTTCTAATGTGTTAGCGAACTCATCATTACTCCCCTCAACAGAGGCTAAATGTATAGTGTGATTGGAAGCACAGCACCTTGTATCTGACATTTATTTACTAGTGAACGAAACTGGCAACTGCTTGAACAGAATCCTAGTTTCCTAAGATCATCATTGATAAGGTTGTTGCAAGATTGCTGGAACATATTACAAAGTACCAAGCACACTCATTGGGCCTTTCCTTCTCCCTAGTTTTAGATAAGGAAATATTTGCAAATGTCCAATTAGGAGAAGTATTAATGGTTGGCTAAAAGGAGCAGTATAATGGACTGGGTCCTCCTTTCCACTCCTTTCAGTCACATGACTTGGTGATCTGAGACAAATTGTATCTTACCTTCCAGGGCCCCATGTCCTGAAGAATCAACTCTACTTGCTGCCAGACAATGGCCATGATGCAAATGACACATTTGCCCTCCTAAGGCATTACTCTGGTTACTACTGGTATTGGAAAATAACTACTGTTAATATATTTTGTCAGCACACTAGGATTAAAAGAAGACCTTATGGTTTTTTCGGAATAAATGGTCCATATCTATGTTTCACAAATCATCCTAAACAGGTTGCTTCCAGCTGCATTCAGGTCCCTGTGTAGCAATAACTTCATTTCCAAGGAAAGGAATCAGAAAAGGGTCTTCTGGAACTGCCTTTATGCATTGCTTGGAGAATTCTTGAGTTTTCTCTGCAATGAGGACTGAGTAGGACTAACTCTTTTTAGCTGAGATGACCCGACAGGCTAACCTCCCAAGTTGCTATGGACTGCAGACATGCTGCTGTGTCCATCCAGATACCACAGAACTGATTCTCAAATCTTTTGATAGAACAATCTTAGAAAACCAAAGCAAAGAGGAAAGAGTTGACCTTTTATCAACCTGTAGGGTGGCATCTGCTTTAAGTGGGTAAGAAAGGTCATCTAGGGCTGGACACAGTGGTTCATGCCTGTAATCCTAGCACTTTGGAAGGCGGAGGTGAGAGGATTGTCTGAGTCCAAGGATTCGAGACCAGCCTGGACAACTTGGCGAGACCCTGTCTCCACAATAAATAAAAAAATTAGCCAGGCTTGGAGGTGTGTGCCTGTGGTTCCTGCTACTCAGAAGGCTGAGGAGGAAGGATCGTCTGAGCCCAGCAGGTGGAGGCTGCAGTGGCTGTGAGCATGCCACTGCACTCCAGCCTGGGTGACAGAGTGAGACTCCGAATCAAAAAAAAAGAAAGGCCATCTAGAACAAAGTAGAAAGGGGAGAGGATCTGGAGTTAGCTTCAAATGGTAGCTTTGTTATTTAGAAGATATTTGAACATATCACCTGACCTTTCTGCCTGTTTTTCCATCAGTAAAACAGTGAAATGACTGTCAAGAGGGCTACACAAAGCAATGTATGAAAAGTACCAAGGCCAACTCGCAGCCTCACTTGCAGCCTGAGCATTGTGAATACATCTTTCTTGTGGTACCCACCACATTCCACCTTTTATGACAAATGACTGAATATGTACATTTCTTGTTCCCCTTCTAGACTGTAACTCTTTGGTGGTGGGGCTTTGAGAGGCCTTATAGCATAGTGATCCACAGCAGAGATACAAACAGGAACTCAACCTTGGCTCCAACCAACTCTTGTTACCTTGGGCAAATTAATGAACTTCATTCCATGACATTAACACAACTGAGGGTATCAGCACTGTACCTAGCCCACAGTAACTGCCCAATAAATGGCAGTGATTATCTTTCCCATTCCTGTGTCCCTTACCTGCTAACAGCATCTAACTAGTACCTGTAGGTTTAAAGGTTTATAAAGCTGAGACATTGCCCCACCCAGAGATATCCAGAAATACCAAGAAGTATGGAGTCCCTTACCTCTGGAAAATCTCTTGTAGCGTTTCCCGGGTGAAGGCATTGCTGTCCTGGAAGACGTTATTGAGGGCATGGAGAGCACAGAGCTCCCTGCGCTGCTTCTCATGATAGATCTGTGGGGGTGCTGCTTGGGGCAGCTCCAAGGATTCAGATTTGGCCTTGTCTCCTTTCCATGGCACACAACTCATGTTTTTCGTTTTAGGTTCCAGAGAGGGCTAAAAACACCCCACTCTTCCCTCCTGAGGGAGAATGTCAGTTTCTCAGTCTCTTCGGGATTCCTGAGGTCCACCTTATTCTCTGGTGTCCATTATTTATGCTTTGTCACTGAGAGAAAAGGTTGGAATCAAAAGGACAAAAAAATCCACCTTTTCTCTGTTCTCAATAGAAAAATAACTTTTGGATTAGTTTATTTTGCCACCAGTGTCAAAGTGCATAATTAAAAAAAAAATCATACAAAATGCAAGACCTTGTTCCCCTTTCCCACCCGCCACCCCCCCCGTCCCCCTCCAAAACCCCACGAATTTCTTGCTGTATTTTCCTCTCTGTGAATGCCAGGCCTCAATGCAGGAGGGCCGAATGGCATCGGGCACATCGCTCCTTTTCTTCCATTTCTTCCAAACCAAGACGCCACTGACTCGGGAGACAAGGCCCAGGCGGTAGGTGAAACGCACGATTCGAGCAGCTAGCGAGGGCCGGCCAGTGCGGGGTCGCGAGCCGCGCCGGAGCCGCGGGGGCAGCCCTCCATCCCGGGTGCGCGGGGTCGGCGGGGCGCCGGTCGACGCGGGCCCGGCTCCCTCGGAAGGCGCGGACTCGCCCTCGCCCTCGCCCCGGCCCTGCGGAGGAGACGACTCCGGTCAGCGGCGCGGGCG